AGAAATTCAGAAATTCAGAAATTCAGAAATTCAGAAATTCAGAAATTCAGAAATTCAGAAATTCAGAAATTCAGAAATTCAGAAATTCAGAAATTCAGAAATTCCTAAATTCAGAAATTCAGAAATTCAGAAATTCAGAAATTCAGAAATTCAGAAATTCAGAAATTCAGAAATTCAGAAATTCAAAAATTCAGAAATTCAGAAATTCAGAAATTCAGAAATTCAGAAATTGTGGCATTCAAAAAGTTCTAAAAGTTCAAAAATTTATGAGTTTCACTTCAAAAACCCACTTTATCATTCTGTCACAATTCTAAGAAATTCCCAAAGGACGAAACTTTTTGGGTTCCTTTTTTCTAATTTTGAATATAAAAATTCAAATTCAATTTTCTTTTTGCATTTTCCAAGAAAATCCAATTAAAAATTTTGAGACAACTCAAAAAAGGATATGTATTTTTATTCTTTTTTCTCGTTTTTCTGAAACTTCCTGAAATTTTATAAAGCTGTCTAGCATGCTGGAAAAACGGAAGATGACTAATATATAAATTTCTTTGAAACAGAAGAAAGACAATTGTCGACTGAGTAGCTGGAAAATTAGTTCCTTGTCCTTTTTCAATCAATCAAACTTGGAAAATTAATTTTGCAAATTTTTATTATAATCAATCCAATTTGATACCTTTAATTTATCAAGAAAAAGATTTATAGCAAAAATCAGAAATTTTAAACTTTTTGAAAAAATCACGCCTTTGCTGAAAACTCGGGCATATTGAATTGCCTAGTAATCTTGAAATTTGAAAGAACTCCAAGTTTTTTGAATCTGAATTTCTAAATTTCTGAATTTCTGAATTTCTGAATTTCTGAATTTCTGAATTTCTGAATTTCTGAATTTCTGAATTTCTGAATTTCCGAATTTCTGAATCTCTGAATTTCTGAATTTCTGAATTTCTGAATTTCTGACTTCCTAACTGATACTGATCAAATTGGAACATTTTGAAAACTTTCGAACTTTTTATCACTCGAACCGATGAGAGAAAACATTACACATTCTCTCTCACTTCTGAACTCTGTTCAAAAATTTTAAAAAAAGAAGTTGGCGCCAACCGGACTCGAACCCGCATCTCGAGGGCAGAAAAGTAGTACTTTAGCCACTACACCATGGGTCACCACAGGAAGTGTGATAGAGATGGCGTACAGGTCTGTGTTGGTTTTCCTCACTCCCTCTCCCCCTTCCTCCCTCACACTCTCTGCCCACCACGCTTTACTGTGGTGAAAAAAAGGGAACGTCTTCAGAAGACTTCAAAATCAAAATTTCGAACAACGAAAAGGTCGGGCATAAACTAATAAAAATTTCTGATCTATCTGTCCAGGTTTCAGCTCAATCGGTTGACTTTGAATGGGTGAAAAGTGACGCTTCATCAATCCGGACATACGGAATTTAGTGAATGTTATTAGTAATGATTTCAAAAGAGTAGCTTTATAATTCGAGACAGATTGAACTAGAGAGGTGGTGCAGGATCTGTTGGAGAGAAAACCATGTTGAAGACTACTGAATTGATGGAGGAATTCCCATTTGATGCGATCACATACCAATCGTTCGAAAATTCGAGCGAATGGGTCAGTAAGCGAAATGGGGCGATAGTTTTCGGGCGATGAAGGAGAACCCTTTTTTGGTATGGGAACGACTACTGCGTGTTTCCAAGAGTCGGGTACATGTGACGTGGAGAGTGAGTCAGAGAAGATAATCGATAAAGGTAATGCTAGAGTGGTGGCGCATTTTTTAATGACAAATTAATTGGCCGAATGGGGAGAATAGCCACAACGAGGCGGGAGTTTGCGAAGAAGCTTCTCAATTATCCAGGGATCGAAGATTTCAAGGTCAGAGCCAGAAAAAGGAAGATTGATTGATTGATAAAGAACAAGGAACTAGTTTTTTTAGTATTTCAAAAAAAAACATTGAAATTTTGAAACAGAAAAAATTCCGAAAAAAAATGTAACCTAAAAATTTTGGTCTTTTGGGAATTTGGAAAATTTTGGACAGAATCCCTGGATCCGGATGACCCGGATTCGGGCGACCTGGATCCGGATGACCTGTATCCGGGTGACCAGGCTCGGGATTCGGGAAAAGGATCCCGGGTCTCGATCCTGGCGGATCCGGGGGTCCTGGGGTCTTGGATCTGAAGGCAGGTGCAAATAATGGAGGAGAAACTGGATCAGGAGCAAAATGAAATGCTGGTGGAGAATCTAGAAACGAGTACCGTGTTCTGAAGAAATCAAATTCAAGATAATTTGGAGCGCTTCTGATATATTGAATATCGGAGCTTGGTGGACCCCAGACGTCAATGAGATCTCAACCTAGTAAATAAATGTTTGTCGGATCAACTGATGTTCTTATCCTCGTACTCTTTTCGTCAAAGTTCGGTCATCGCGAATGAGAGGTCCGTTTAGTGTCCTCTGTTGAATATCCAACAATATGAATTTCTGAATTTCTCGAAAATCTGGAATTTTGATTTTTTGCTTATCCAGCTGCTTTTTGCAGGATTCCAAAATTTATGAAATTTTTAAATGAAATAAAAATAAAATGAAAATGTAATTTGATTTCGGAAATTCGGAAATTCTGCATAAAAACTAGTGTTTTTTTTCAGAGATTCTGAAAATGGTTGAGAAAAAAATGTCAAAAACAAAAAAGATGTATTAAATGAAAATTTTTCAAAGATTTAGGTATAACGTCTTCGCAATTTTTTTCATTCTGAATATTTCTCCAACCGCGTCAACAATTTGTCTTCCAGGAACTAGTCGTTGAGCAGTTCCGGAATTCGGTGTCTTATGCAGTATTCGTTCCAAGAGCAGTTATCAGCTAATATTGAGGAAATCAGTATTATCTGAAGCAACAAATTTTCAAAAGATTTTATAAAATTTCTGAGAAAAAAATTACCAAAATACCAAAAATCGGAAACTAACTTGCTTTGATAATGGAAAAAATATAAAAAGTAGATGCAAGATTTTTGAATATGTCTTTTGATATAAAATGGAACAGTTTTCTATGAATAATCCTCAGTTTTGGAAGAAACAGGAAAATTTTGATTGCAATTCCAGTTTTATTGGGGTCCAAAGACTAATTCAAAAATTTTAAAGTTTCTGCAAAACGGGCTCTGTCATAGTTTCTTTTAGAATTAATATTGTATAACCAACTAAATTGGGCTCTTGTCGGTTATTTTGGTCCTTAGAATTATTTTTGGTCCTTAGAATTATTTTTGGTCCTTAAAATTATTTTTGGTCCTTAGAATTATTTTTGTTTATTCACAGTGCCTGTGACATTTTTTAAATTTTTTTTATTATTTAGCGTTTTTATTTGCCTTGTTAATTGTTTACACTTTCATAATTCAGTCTGCCTTCAAATTATTTATTTGCAAATATGGAACAACTGATAACGAAGTTGGAAACTCGTCGCGGCAGTCTAGGAATACATTTTATTTAGTATAATTCGTAAACTATTTATTTCCCTCTTCCACCTTTAGACCTTCCAGATCGAGATGGTTGGGTCCCAGTAGAGCCTCTGGAACCACGACCGCGAGCTCCTCCTGATTGTTGTGTACGGGTTACTGCTTCCGCCCTCGATGTTTGAACACGGCTGCTATGACCTCGTCTCAAATTTTGCCCTCTTCCTCTAGCTCTCTGAGCTCTTCCCGGTCTTCGTCCTCCTGTTTCAGTTGGCGATTGTCCACGCCGGTCACCCATGACACTTCCTGAATTCACTCTGACTCTAAGTGTTCCTCGGCGAATCTTGACATCTCCACGGTCTTGATTATCGCTCAATGGCTCTTGTCTACCTCCTCTCTGTGTTTGACCACGGCCAGAACTTTGGCCTCTCCTAAATAATTAAAAAAAATTAAAAAATGTCACAGGCACTGTGAATAACCAAAAAAAGTTTAAGGACCAAAAATAATTTCAAGGACCAAAAATAATTTTAAGGACCAAAAATAATTTTAAGGACCAAAAATAATTCTAAGGACCAAAAATAATTCTAAGGACCAAAAATAATTCTAAGGACCAAAATAACCGACAAGAGCCCTAAATTGAATATGATAAAAAACTCAAGAACTACAAAATGATACTATTTGGATTACTGTATCTTGTCTATGAACAAAGTTACAAGCCAAGAACCATTTTTGTTACTCGGACACAGCTTTTTGGCTTGTAACTTTGCTCACAGATAAGATACAGTACTCCAAATACTATCATTTTGTAGTTCTTAAGTTCTTCTGTTGAGCCTAATTTATTTGGTCCTGAAGTATTAAGTTTTAAGGAAACTATGGATCTTTTTTTCAGGTATAACTTACTAGGGGAATAACTAAATGTCGTTTTTGATATCTTTACCGGGTGTATCCTTGTCAAAAATATGTGGAAATCCTTATAGTTTGAATTTCCCAAATATTGATTATGTTTATTTCGATTCATATTTACAAAGTGTGTTTGTGTCTTCTGAAATGTCGAAAATTTTTTAAACATCCGAAAATAAACATTCTTTACCTTATTTGATGCAGAAATTAGAGTATATTTGTCAATGAATAAATATAAAAAATGAATAAAATTTTAATAAAAATCAATTTTTTAAAAATAAGAGATCACCGAAAATCAGATGGTAATCATTGGAAACTGAATAATAATAAAAACTAAGAATTTTCAGTTTTTAAAGACAATGAGAAATAGAAGAGACGCAGAGAAAAAGAGTAGGTGCTTTGTAGTCTTATCAGTGATAGAAGTAAGATGATGCAAAAATAATTATCAGTGATAAAAAATTGAAAAGTACCATACAAAGTACAATTTACTAAAATGCGTCTAATTCTCAACGGAGCGCACTTTCTGGAAATTGAAATTTTGCACAGAAATGCTTGATTTTGTCTAACTCTTTCTCTCTCCTAGGCTGTCTTTTCTCCCCTTACCCATCGGTATATGTGTGTATATTAATCTTGTAAATATAACGGAAACGTATTAAAGAATTAAAAATGACACCAAGAAAGTTATTGCTCTGCCTTCTCTTTGGATTCGAAAGTAAGTAATCGGAAAAATAGTTTAGCTAACCAAAAGTTTACAGTATGTCCATCAAAATGCAAAGATTCCTACGTGGATCGTGTATGTGGCGAAGATCAAAAGAATCTATGGTTGGATATTGTCTGTGTAGTGGATAATTCAGCTGGAATGACCAATGCTGGAATTACTGAGGAATATTGATGTTTTTCAAATACAAATAATAGAAGAAATATTCTTTTAGGTCGCTGCGTTGATTTCGTCACTTTTCGTTGATGGCCAACAACTGGGAATTCAACCGAACAACCCTAGAACCACAAGAGTTGGAATTGTAACTTATAACCAAGGAGCACATGTCATTGCCGATTTAAACAACTTCACTTCTGTTGATGAACTCATAGATAAAACATTCCGTGTTTTGAATCAAGTGTCAACGTCATCTGATTCATACTTGCATGCTGGATTAGAAGCAGCGAATGATCTTCTAGAACAACAAAGTTTCAATACTGCAAGAGGACATTATCAAAAATTGGTTATTGTATACACCTCCGAATACAAGTTAGTTCATTTCAGCTGACTGAATCATTCTGTTTTTATTTAGAGGAACAGGATCACAGGATCCACTTCCATTGGCCACTCGTATGAAGCAAACCGTTTCAATTGCTACAGTCGCTTACAATCGAGAAGATGATCTTGGAGTCCTTTCTGAACTTACAAAAATAGCGACGCCCGGATATAACTTTACAAATGATGAGGATATTGTTGCAGAATTGAGATCAGCCATGCTCCAAGTCAATTGTTACTGTCCAAATGGATGGTTCCAAATGCGACAGAGCTATGCAAATGAGAATTCATTGAAGTACGGTGTCTGCCTTCTTCCAGTCACATTACAAGCCACGTGGCTTGCATCGAAGTTCTCATGCAGAAATCACTGGAACAACGGGTTCCTGGTAAACGAATACACTCAGATGAAACACGATTATGTTCTAGGTGAATACAATTTTTTCTAAGTCAGAGTTCATGTTACACTATTTCAGAAGTCGTTAGAAATAATACTGCGTTCAAACAGCCATACATGTACTTCATCGGTCTATCGTATTCGAATGGGAATTGGCAATGGAACAGCCAAATGGAATGGATCCAATTGTGGTAGATTCTAGAGCTGACACATGACGAATGAATTACATTTACATTTAGTTTAAAAACTGGAATGCCTGGAATCCCGGATTCCCCACTGCTTCATCAACAGCGATTGTTGTTGTGAATATGCAAACCTCATCATCAACAATATCGACCGGATGGCAAAATACAAGAAAAGATTTGGCAAGTATGTATGTTTGTGAAGTTGCTTCGTGTGATTCCACAAATTATTGTACCGCTGAAGATATCTAGAAAATACTATTTATATTTATGTTAATACATTCATGCACCAAAAACGAACGCGAAAATAAAATTTTTAAAACTTCCAAATTTTTTTTGAAAAAGGCAAAAACATCTGAAAAAAAATTAAATTTAGGATTATTACGGGTTTCAGAATGTGTTCTATCAGAAAAAAAACCAATTTGAAAAACCTAAGATTGTTTTTGTAGTAATCATTGATATGAATAAAACTATACAGTTCAACTTCTGAAGTTCTGAAACAGCAAAAAAATGTTGAAACATATGCGAATCTTTATCTTTTAAGTATTTTGGTTAAATTTGAACAAATCGATATCACACATTTTTGTGTTTTTTATCAATAAATTATCACAAATTAAAGAGAATTAACAGCTCGAATTGTGTGACACGCCTCCATGACTTCAACAATTTCATCGATTTCCTCTTGAAGTTGTTGTAGACGAGCATCCAGAATAGACATTGTGTGCATGGAGCATGTGAGTTCTGAAAAATGAGATAATTGGGTAATTAAGATGCTCTTGCACACAGTAGTTTATTTACCGTACCCAAAAAACTTCTGGAGTGCTTTATTGCAGGGCCCTTCTAATGCAGGTTTACAGTAAATCATATTATGCATTTTCATATAAAAGGAGGAGGTTAACAAAACAATTTTCTGTTTCATGAGATTTAAAAATTGAAGGAAATTACAAAAAAAAATTGGTGGGAAGAAAAGTATAGGAGCTTACAATTGACTAAATTAACATGCACTTTAAACTCAATTACCTCGATTACTGTAAGAAATATCAATAAGTGGTCAACTGATAAAATGTTTATCATAATATCACTAACATTTTATGACTTGACAAAGTTTGATACTCTTCAATTTCAAATCATTTAATGCGAACTTCAAGGTCAATTACCTCGACTCCTATGAATGATATCAAAAAGTTATCAACTGATAAAATGTTAATCATAATATCACCAACATTTTTGTTGACAGATTTTTGTTATCTCTCACAGTAACCGAGATAATTAAGTTTAAACCCACCATTCTCATATCTCTTCACCGCTGCTGCTGCTGCCAACTGATAGTAATGAGCAGGTGTTCTTCCGACAAGAACACTTCGTTTGCCGGCTGATGGGCGGAGTGATGCTCTGAAATTCGAGAAAATTGCTATAAAGGCATTGATTCTAAAAAGTTTTGATTTTTTTTATTTAAAAGTTTTGAAACAGTAACTTTTTTTCTCAAGCTTCTGGAGTTTTGAAACTATAGCAGCTTCGCCTCATTTTATCTGGGTTACTGTAAGTGGTATCAAAAAGTAGTCAACTGATGAATTGTTTATCATAATATCACCAACATTTTATCAATTGACAACTTTTTGATATCGCTTACAGTAAACGAGATAATTGGTTTCACAGTTGATGGATCTTGCATTGGCGAATTTTCGAATCAAAAATTGCTGTTCCCAAATTTATTTATATATACTTTGATCGGACTTTCTTGTAAGTTTTAGCTTGTAGAAATCTATTTAAAAAGTAAATTTGCTAACCTTCCAGTTGCCAAATTGGCTGTACAAACTGCGACGAGAAGAAGAAGTGTTGTGAAGAAGAGAATTGAAGATTTCGAAGACATTTTGTTGAAAAAAAAATGGACAACAGGGGGACCCTGAAAAATTGGAAACTTTGAAAAAATGCAATAAGCAAACGAGATTGAGAATTTCGATGAGACTTTTCACAAAAAGGAAAATTGAAACAGGGAACAATAAATTCATAAAAGTACGGATTTTTCAAAAAAAAATGGTCTTTAAAACTAAGGATTCCTGAGATTTTCAATTTAAAAAAAAAGAATTGGAACTTCTAAAAATTGCAAAATCTCAAAATCCAGAAAAAACTCAGAAAAGGAATCAAAATCACTGTTTCCAAATTCTTTTCAAAAAAATTATACTGCTTCTACGTACTACCTTCATGTTATATACAAATTCCAAACAAAAACAAAAGTGACATAATACAAATCTCGACATTTCTTAAATGACCTAATTCCCTAAAATTAGATCAAAAATTTCGAGTGGGGGCTTGGGTTCAAGCGAGGGGCGTCAGAAAGCGCGCCCCAGCAAACTCGTAGGCCAAAAGAAATTTAATAATTTTAAAGTGGACGCGGGTTTGCTCTAGATCATGATCTATTTCTTCAAAATCAACTGGCTGCAAGGCGCGCTTTTCTTCATTTAAAACTGTGAAACTCAGCCAACGAAATTCGGCAGCGAATTTAGAATTTTTCCTAAATTTACTGCGCTTTCTGACCCCCTCGCTTGAACCCAAGTGGGGGCGGATCTGAAAACGCATGGGGCTTCTAGAAGTTTCCGGGTCATCAGGAAACAGGAAATTTCGAGATTTTCTAAGATTTGGAAACCTTACAAAAGTCGTCTAGGCGAATTCCGTAACTGATGTTATTACTAAATTTTGGCAATTTAGGGATTAGGATTTTGGAAATTTTTAGTTTTAGTGAAGCCCTAAAATTTGATAAAGTTTGTCTATTTTGGTGTGTCTCAAATATTGAGAATTTCCAAATGAATTTGCACGAAAAATGGAAAAAAAACAGAATTACTGTTTCAAAAAAAAAAATTGAAAAATTATTTTTTTTTCGAAAATTCGAACCCATTTTTCTTGGTTACTGTATTCCGATTACTGTAAGAGATATCAAAAAGTTGTCAACTGATAAAATGTTTGTGATTTTATGATAAACACTTTATCAGTTGATCACTGTTTGTTATCTCTCACAGGAACCGAAGTAGATTGATTTGAAATTGTGTCATCAAAATCCCCTTTTAATAGCGAAACCTCGGATATGGTGCCACCGTACTTTGAGCCAATTTATCTCAGGTCCTATAAACGATACCAAAACGTTGTCAACTGATAATATGTTACTGATAATATGATAAACATTTTATCAGTTGATCACTTTTTGTTATCTTTCACAGTAACGAAGATAAATTTAATCAAAAAATTGCTGATCCGAAATTTTAGCATAAACTTGAAACATTTTTAGATTCAATTACTTCAAACCGAATGGAAGAATGCAAAAATTAACAAAAAGGCAGATATCCGGATGGCAAGAAGCACAGACAGACACAAGGATCCATTTTGAAGAAAACGGGGAAATACATATTTACTGTTTCAAAAAATGTTTAAATTTATTTGAAATTCTGAAAAGCACTGTTAACTTTCACCTAGTTCACCTTGGTTCCTGTAAGAGATATCAAAAAGTGGTCAGATGATTTCTGATAATATGATAAACATTTTATCAGTTGACAACTTTTTGATATCTCTTACAGTAGCCAGGCCCAGTATCCAAGGGTACATCGAAAAAGGGTGCATCGAGTTCTTAGTGTACATTGGTTCCAAGGGTACATTGGATTGTTCGGTACATGTAGGTGGACAAAAAAAAGTCAATCAATATTTTTATACATACTATTTAGATTTCTGCTCAAAATTATAGGCTTAGGCTAAAACGCCTTACAGTCTAAGATCCCATGTACCNTCAGAACCAATGTACCNTAAGAACTCGATGTACCCTCGATGTACCCTTTTTCGACGTACCCTTGGATCGTGGGCCCAGTAGCCAAGATATATTGATTTGAAGTTGTGTCATCAAAATCCGCTTTTAAAGTCGAAACCTCAGATATGGTGCCACCATACTTTGAGCCAATTTATCTCGGTTACTGTAAGAGATACCAAAACGTTGTCAACTGATAAAATGTTACTGATAATATGATAAACATTTTATCAGTTGACAGGTTTTTGATATCTTTTAAAGAAATTGAGATAAGTTGAGTCAAAGTTTCAATTTTCAAAATTTCTGGAGAAAAAAAAGTGATGTTTCAAAGTTTCGGAATAGTAAGCTCAATAGTTTTCAAATTTAATAACTTCACCCCAAAAATGAAAACAGCAGGAATTAACAAGAAATGACATCCGGATTTCAGGAAACACAGAGAGACACAAAAATCCTGGAACGAAAAAGAAAAGAACATTGAGCTAAAAACATAACCATATACACTTTTTGCGCCCCCACTCATTTTCATATCCGCACGTATTTGAAAAAACAATGAAAAAAAATGAATGCAAAGTTTGTTCTATGTGTATAGTTGATAATTATTTTTAGTAACTTCTCTGAAATGACACTTTTAAAAATAACTATAGGAAGTTTTTGTTGTTTTCTGTGTTTTGATGAGCAATGAGGAAGTTAAGATAGATTCTGAAAATCTTTAATAAATGAAAAAATTGCATTTTTTCGAATTTTGGAAATCTGATTTTTTTTCTGAAAATTTCATAAATTTTGTCTAAAAGTCGTTAGAATGTTTTTTATTGGGCCAGCAAATTGCGAATTTAAAATTTTTTATTCGAAGTTTGATGATTTTTGATTGAAACGGTAAAAAAATAATTGAATTTTCAGTTTTTAAAATTAAAATTCCCAAAAATTGAAATCCTATAAATGCGATTTTCCAAATTATCTACAAATTTATAATTTTCAAAGTAATTTAAAACAATTTTTAGAATTCTCTAAAATTTAATTTTTACTGTTTCAAACTATAATTTATTAAATTTTGAAATAAACATTTTTCAATAATTTTTTGCGGTGTTTTTGGAAAATAATGAAAAACTGAGAATTTCAAAATTTGGCAGAAATTCAAAAATACATTCAAAAACCTTCTAGAAATTTGTAGATTTGTAATTTATGGAAATTTTAGGAGGAAACTGAAAAGTTAATTTATATGTGTTACTGTTTCAAAAAATCTAATCAATAAAATCTGATTTTTGAAATTAGAAAATTCATAAAATGCGCCTAAAATTTTGCTAGAATACTATTTTTGGGTGAATATAGCCAACGCAATAAAATTTTAAGAAAATTCAATTTTCATAATTTTTGATTGAAACAGTAAAAAATTTTTGAATTGTCAACTTTTTTCCAAATTCCCAATAATTGTGTTTCTTCAAATTTTCAGAAGTTTCTTAATTATGGTTTTTGTTTATTAAATTTCCGGAAAAAAAACTCAAAATTCAAAAATGAAATAGATGAATTTATTTTGCATTAATATAGAAAAGTTCCCGGAAATATCTAAAACTGGATTTTTCAAAAGTTCAAAAATTCAGTTTTTTTACTGTTTCAAAATACCAAATCTAGGAAATCTGATTTTTCTAAAAATTAAGACTAAAAATCTTCAAAAGTCGAATTTTCATGATTTTTGATTGAAACAGTAAGAAACCGTAAAAGCTGTAATAGGAAAGCCCTTCAAGCTTTAACTTTGAGCCAATTTTTCTAAGTTCCTGTGAAAAATATCAAAAAGTTGCCAACTGATAATTTGTTTATCATAATATCAGCGACATTTCATTAGTTGACACATTTTCGATATCTCTTATAGGAGTCCAAATAATTGAGCTCAAACTTGACAGTGTCGGAGCCCTTCTATTACAGGTTTTACGGTATAATTTATATTTCCTTTTTTTTTCTTCAAAAAATTTTGAAATTTCTAGAAGGTTTCTAGAAGGTTGATTTTAAAATTTCTAGAAGGTTTTTTTTTTGAAATCTCGCTCTCTTGAAAAACTTGAAAGATGGCTTTAATCAAACTTTTTTATTTATTTTTAAAAAAAACTTTTAAAGCATGAAGTCGTAATAAGAAGAAAAAGGAAATTTTTCCCTGAAACTTTTCTTTTATACAAAAAATTCACCTGTTCCTCTTTCCAGTACTTCTGTATTCATATACGCCGTCTGATATGCACGTCATGAAAATTCAGAATTCGTGGAAAAAAGAATAAAAGAGAAATATGACTCAAAAATGCTCAAAAATCAGCAAGCAACTTGTATAGTTTGTAGTTTTTTTCTTACGGTTTATGATTTCGAAAGTTTTGAAACAGCAATTTTTTGACGAAATTTATCTCGGTTACTGTAAGAGATATCGAAAAGATGTCAACTGATAAAAAGTTACTGATTATTTGATGAACATTTTTAAAGGAGGGGAGACATCAAAAATTTCAAAATTTTTGTTTTTTTATCAAAAGATGTAACTCTGAAGTATAAATATAGCTATGTACTTAAAAACTGAAAAAAACACATCCCCGACGAAAAAATGCTCTTTTTTGTCACCCTAATTTCTTCACACGCTTGCTGCTGCGGCGTCGCTTCATAATACACAAAAACGATGTGTTCGCCTCTTACACGCGTAGTGTTGTGGGTACGTTCTACGCTAGTATTCGGAAGGTCAGAGGTTCAATCCCTGCTAGTGTTTTTACTTTTTTCTTCTCTTGTTTCTTTGGGATTGAACTTTTTGAACTCGGAATTTCTGAAGGGCTACCAGCGCGCCGCCAAGGCCTAGCTCCGTGATATCAAAATTAGTTGAAAATGAAAAAATATGTGTTTTATTATGTTAACAAATAAATTATGAAAAAAAAACTACAATCAATTCTTAGAAAGGGACCTAACAATTGAAAAAAAATCACAGAATTAAAAACATTCTCGTGCATGGTTCGTCGTCGGAAGGCGAAGATAGCAGTAGATGAGGAGTCGTCTCTGAAAATCCCAGTCATAAAACATTTTTTTATTTCCAGAGTAACAACGAGAAGAAATAACTAGGAACGGTGAAGAAACGGTTATCGGAGAGAAAATAGTTGTTTCGCATGCATACGACATGTCTATAGAAAACACCGGCCACTGGCAGAATAATCGGCCGATTGAACTTGAAATTTACATGAAAAATTCTCTTTTATATGGGTTTTATAATAAATAAGAAAAAAGAGCTTTTATAATGTTTAAAATCGTTAAAAATTGAAAAAATAAAGTCGGGAAATAAAAAAAAAAATGTTTGCGCGTGAGATTGCGTGCTTTAGGTGCGAACACCGCGACGTCAGAATGCACGCCCCCTGAAATTGCCCCCGAAATTTTTGCTGTCTGGCCCCCTTTTTGATATCTATTACAGCAACCAAGATAAAATAGGTTTAAAATTTTTTTTAATTTCAAAAAAATCAGAAAAATTGTTTGAAACAGTAATTATTTCGATTTAAAGCTTCCAAATCGTTAATTTTAGCCGATTTCGACAAAAATAGCACGAACTTCGGACAAAAACGATAAAAATGAGCAAAAAGCATCAAAAATCGAGAAAAATAAACTAAAAAATTATTAATTTCAGGCGCATGCGCCTTTAAATAAAATTCACTTTTTCATTTTTTTTTTGGATTTTTCCGAATTTGAATTTCAATTTTTCGTTGAAACTGTGCATACTTTTTTTTGAATAATTCAAAAAATATGGCGAAATTGGGATTTTTCAGTGAAAAGCGGTCACCTTCAAAGTTCTGCGAAAGTGGTTTGGAATCATTCATTTTGTCTGAAAATTTCAGAGAGTACTGAACATGAATGAAGCTTTAATTTTGTAGTTGACAACTTTTTGATACACGTCTAACGAAGCGAGATAAGCCGATCGTAAAACTGTCATACTCCACTTGGAGAGCCACTTAAACCGTCAACTTTGAACCCCTATATCTCGGTTGATGTGAGAGATATCATAAAGTGGTCAACTGATAAAATATTGCTGATATGATAATAAACATTTTATCAGTTGACAGGTTTTTGATATTTTTAATAGAAATCGAGGTAAGTTGAGTCAAAGTTTCAATTATCAAAATTTCTGGAGAAAAAAGTGCTGTTTCAAAATTTCGGTATCACAAAATTCAAAATTAGTCAGATTCGACATTTTTAAACAAGAGCAACACTACAACAACTAACAAAAGTTCCAGGAAACACAGAAAATTTGGCCAAAACTTTATTTAGGAGAGCTCAATTACCTTGGTTACTGTAGAAGATAACAAAAATTTGAAAACTGACAAATTATTAGTGATAATATGGCAAACATTTTATCAGTAGACAACTTTTTGATATCTTTCACAGGAGCCGAGATAAATGAGCTCAAACTTGACGGTTTGGCTGACCTTCTATTAGAGTGTTTCCCGTAAAATGTTTTCGTTTTTTTTTTCAAATTTTTGTGTGAAAATTTGGACATTTCAGAATTTCTAAAATCTGACAAATCAAGTAAAACAAGTCGTCAAATTACGTTTTAAGGGAAAAACATTAGCAATTTGAAAGAAAAGGATTTTGTTTTTGGAAATTTTTGAAACGGCAATTTTTTAACTTAAAAAAGAAGTTTTCAGACAAGTTTGGCGACTTTCAGCTGTTTAAAATTTAGTCATTTTTAAGTTTCCAAAAAAATTACTGTTTCAAAAATTTTCGAAAAAAAATTATAATTTTTAAAAATCCATTTTCATTTACTGTAGTTTTCGTGGCGCTATAAAAACGAAATTTTCTCGAAAAATCGAAATTTTTATACTTCCCAAATAGGCTCCGCCCCTTTTATCCTCCCCTAAAAACAACTTTTCACCTGTTTTTTCGTAATTCTTGAATTTTTAATTTTTTCCTCTATTTTTTTTTCATCACATCATTTTAAGCCAAAAAAAAACGTCATCTGAAAATCTGAAAATTCGAAAACGCCCAGCTGAAATTGTTTTTCGAAATTCGAAAAAAAAACGTTTTCTGGAAGTTTTTCTGGAAGAAAATTTTGCAAAAATTCTGATTTTTGAGATTCTGAATTTCTGCAAAAAAATGATTTTTTTTCTGAAAATCATTTTTATTCGACAAAATGAAAAATTCACGAGATTACTGTATGTGGAAAAAAAGAGATACTGTAGTTCAAAAGGAATGAGCAATTGGAACAAAAATTGAAAACTCAAGGATTACTGTAGATTGGGGAAAATGAATCAATCATTATTACAGTGTTACTGTAGAGTGATAGAAATGAGAAATTGAGGATTACTGTAGAAAAAAGGGGGTACTGTATTATAGATTACTGTAGATTGGGAAAATTACATTAAAAATTGGGGGAAAGTTGGGGAAAATCACAAAAAAACTTTAAAACCGATTTTTCAGCCAAAATTCAAAATTTCAGCCAAATTCCCGAAAAAAAAAAGAAACTCAAAAATCGATTTTTTCAGCCAAATTTTTAAAAAATTTCAGCAAAATTTTTTTTTTCTAAAATTTGAAATTTTCAATTTTTAGGCTGATTTTAGCCATTTTTAAGCAATTTTTCGCCATAAAACCCTTCAAAATGCTTCTTTTTTGCTCATTTTTGCTCCAATTTTCAATCAATAAGGTACAAATTCATCAATAAGTTCACTATTCGGAATTTGTGATGCTTCGATCCGGTTTTGAGCAGGATAATAGACATGGAATGTGTAGTTAGAGCGTGCAAACGATCCAGGATTCGAGACAATCGTCTCCGTTCCAACCACTTTCTCCTGGAATGTCTCAAATCGATCGGCAGAGATCAGGAGATCCGGCAGAGGGTGGAGACTCAGACAGTGAGAGAAATCAGCCAGAATTGGAGTGATGTGTTGGGGCAGGGGGCAGAGATGGGCCTGAAAATTGGGATTTTGAAAAATCTGAAAATCCCATTTTTCGAATTCCAAAGATTCTGAAATTCTGGAAATTTTGGCTTTTTTCAAAAATTTTCAATTTTAAAAGTTTTTTCAAAATCAAAAAAAAATCATTTTTGGGGAAATTTTTTTTTCGATTTTCAGATTTTTTTCCACATTTTCAGCACAATTTTCGCTCAGAATGATCTCTGAAAATTATGAAAATCAGAACAGAAAACTTGTGTTTTAGTATCTAGACAAGGAAAAATTTAGATTCTTGATGTCTTAAACAATGTGTTGCTGAAAATTAATTTGATTTTTCTAATTTTCAATTTTTCAGAAAAACTACAGTAATCCAAAAAGCCTTAAAACATAGAGTATGACAGAATGAGCTGTGAGATTACTGTAGAACCAAAAATACTGTTAGTCCGTATGAGAGATGTCAGAAATGTGTCAACTGATAAACTACTAGTGATAATATGATGAACATTTTATCAGTTGGCAATAATTTTTTTCAAATCTTCTATGACTCTATTTATCTCGGTTACTGTAGGAGATAACAAAAAGTGATCAATTGATGAAATGTTCATCATATTATCACTAACATTTTATCAGTTGACAACGTTTTGCTATCTCTTACAGTAATCGAGATAAATTGACCTAAAGTTGAAATTTAGAGGGGGGCTTCTATTACAGGTTTTACGGTAATCCTTTAAAATCGTTTTTTTCTGGAATTTTGAAAGTTTCAGATTTTTCAAAATCTCTGAAATTTGTCATTTTCAGCTCTATTTTTAGCCAGTTTTCAGTCAGAATCTATCTTTAGCCTCTTTATTCCAGGTGAATATTATTACCCTTTGTGGGAATTTATTATTATTATTATTATTCTCATTTAAATTTTAAGGTTGCGGCATTTTAATTTTTTTTCTGAAAATAGGCAAAAAAATCTGAAATTTTCAGCCAAAAAATCCATTTTTTACGTAATTTCTTGAATTTTTCAGATGATTGGAAATAACAAAAAATCTGAAAAAAATTTCAGATTTTTTTCAGAAATTTTCAGCCAAAAAAACTAAGCTAAAAATAGCAAAAAATCAGTATTTTATAGTGAAATGTTGTAGTATTTTTCTCGTTCCAAAACAAAAATACAGGTGATTTTTCTGTAAAAAAACCTTTTTTTTTTAAATATCTGAAATTTTAGGTTTTAGGGACCACAAAAATCTGCCAAAATACATTTTTTAAGCTAATATATCACATTTTAAAGATTTTCAGACAATTTTATCATCTAAAAATGTAGTTTTCTGTGAATCTGTGTGTCCAGATGTCTCCAAATTTTCAGATTGCTCAGCATTACCTGACTCAAAATGCTTCTCGCATATCTCGATGAAATCGATTCGACGGTGATGGAGTTGATCGAGTGTCTGGAAATTCAAAATTTCGAAAATTCTGAAAATTTCAAAAATCAAAATTTTCTTTTTTCAAAATTTTTAAACATTTCCCTCAATGTGCTATAACTATCATTGATAAGTTATCATGACTCTTTTTTTTTGGCTTTGGGGACATTTTGAAAACTCGAAAAAAAAATATTTTTGAAAAAATTCCAAAGTTTTCCTAATTGCCCAAGTTAATTACCCAATTAAGGCTCTGCCTAATTAACAGAATTTTCAAAAATCTGACATCATTTTTCAAAAATTCCAGGTGTCCCCCTTAAGAAATTCGTACACTTTTCAGCTGTTCCAAAACTCTCAAAAATCCTCAAAAAAACAAAAAAAAAATCTGCAATTTTTCACAAATTTTCAGCTGAATGGAGCTGAAAAATATTTTTAAAAAATCTGTATTTTCTCTCTAAAAGACAAAAAAAGATTTTTTGAAAAAAAATTTTTTCCAATTTTTTTCAAAAAAATTTCAAATTTTGGCTGGAATTTTCCAGAAATTTCTGAAAAAAAAATCGATCACCTGCACATTTTCTTAATCAAATCGTTTCGAAAAACGACAATTTCCTGACTGGCAAACTGAATTCGACACGGATTCGAGGCGAAAGTCGCCGAGATGATTGGCGAGACGTGTTTGAAGAGAAGGGATGGCAGATGGGGGCGGGGCAATACCTGAAAATCACAAAAATTGATAAAAATTGATGAAAATCTGGGGAAAAATAGGTCTAAAATGATTCAAAATTGTGAAAAAAAAATGAATGAAAATTGTGGTTTTTGGCCCAAAAAACACCGAAAAATCTGCGAATTTCAAACATTCAAAAAAAAAAAAGAAAAATCGAAAATTTATTATTGAAATTCTTTGAAATCTTCCGATTTTCGAACTTTTTATATTTTTGAAATTTTAACAGTTTCGCAATTTTACAAACTTTGAAAATTGCAGAATTTCAGATTTTTGAAAATTTTCCGACTTCTCAAAATTTAAAATTTGCAAAAATCAAATTTTCAGCTTTTCTAGACCTAAAAATCACAAATTTCCAGCTCAAACTTGAAGATTTTGGCTTGAAATTTGTGCTTTGGAATTTCAGCGCTTTTGAAAATTTGCATGTTTTCTCACATTTTGAGTTTTTCAGACTGAAATTCCATATTTTTATGTCAAAAATCTGTAATTTCAAGCCAAAAACTTTAATTTTCGAAGCAAAAAATCAATATTTTCAAGCCAAACATCAGTATTTTAGAACCAAAACTTCTTTTTTTTTAAATCAAAATATTCTCATTCTTGGCTCATTTTCCCCGATTTTCCTCATAATGTCAGATCATTTTCAGCCAATTTTCAGCCAATTTTCGTACCAAATCGACAAACGGATCGTCTGGTCCGGGTACAAAAATGAACTGCGTCTTTTCGTATTCCTTTTTCATTTGTTGTAATTGATTGGCCAAATATCGGAAACCCCGATCCAACAGATCGATTGTATCCGTTTGACGGGGACGGGAACAGAAATTGCCACAGAGGACAATAGCGATCGGTGGCTGATCCTTGTATCCTATCAGCAGTTTGTTCAGTGCACGCATTGTCTGGAAAAGATTACAGATTTTTGGAAAAAAAAAGTGATTTTTTGGCTGAAAATTTCAAATTTTCCAAATCTTCCAATTCTGATAAAAATTGATATCACGACCTGAAATGAGCTAAAAATGAGGAATCTGCAAAAAAATTTCAAAAATTTCAAAAATTAAAAAAATTTTTTCAAAAATTTGGAATTTTTCAGATTTTCAGCGTTTTTTTAGGCTGAAAATTTCAAAAAGTCCAAAAATTTCAAAATCACAAAATTCTGATAAAAATTGAGATCACGACCCGAAATTGGCTGATAACAGGGAATTTGGGAAAAAATTCCAAAAATTGAAAACAAATTTTTTTTTGGAATTTTTCAAAAATTTTCAAAATTTGGAATTTTTCAGATTTTCAGCGTTTTTTTAGGCTGAAAATTTCAGATTCACCTTCATATCATCCAAAAAGACATCTGATAAGAAGATAATCGATGTATCCTCCTGTTTCGCCAGTGCCGATCGAAGACGTTCACTGCATCTGAAGGCGATCTGAAAATTATTGTTAATTGGTCGATTATGAGCTAATTAGGCATTTTTAAAATCTGCTAGAGGTTGAAAACGATATTTTGGACCAATTTTTGGTCGAGATTAGGTTATTTGTGTGATTTTAGAGCATTTTTCGGTTCAAATTCAGTCAAAAATGGGTCAATTTAGATCGAAATCTATCGATTTTAGGCCAATTTTGACGAATTTCAGGTCAAAAAAGAGCATTTTCGGCTCAAAATGACTCGATTTTCTTGATTTTTGGACCGTTTTTAGCTCAAAAATCGCATTTCCAACCTTGTCCTCTCCTCCAAACCAATTCTCATTCGAACTGAGCTCTTTTCGTGTCGTTTCCGCGGATTCCACGGGTACCATTGCCACTTCATTGACTTTTAGCACTGAATTCTCGAAGTTTCCCTCAAAAATCGCAATGGAGTGCTCATGGAAGAGGGCATGATGGAATTTGGTGTCCTCTTTGAATTCCACTTCAATCGACCCCGATAGATCTTCGATATGGTAGCAGTCGGCCTGAAAACAGTGATTTTGTGGGTTGAAAATTGAAATTTTCAGTGATTATAACCTCAAACTTGAGATTTTCCATGCAAAAATCGTATTTTCCGGCTTTTAAAGCAACAAAATTGACGCAGAAACTTTGAAAATTGGAGAAAAATGAAATTTTGGTACTGCCCAGCAGTAGCAAAATGACATTTTGGTACTGCATTTTCATGATTTGCTACTGCTCAGCAGTACCAAAATGAAGCAAAATCTTTTTTTTTAATGATTTTTTTTGGGTGTTATTGGAGTCCAAATTTTGAATTTTTATGAATTTTTGGGATTTCCGGCGCCCAAAATTCGATATTTTATGATTTTTTGAAGCCCAAATTTCGAATTTTCATGGTCTTTTGTGAAAAATAGGCTTTATTTTAACCCGGAATTGACAGTCATTTTTCGCTTTTTTGTTCAAATTTCGAAAAACTTGAAAATTTGAAATTCAGACCAAAATTCTGAGTCTATTTTTGAGGTTTTTAAGATCCAAAATTCGTTTTTTTGTGATTTTTTTCTGAATAAATCAGTCATTTTTTGTCTTTAATTCGTTTTGGAAACATTTCTGTGAAAATGAGGTCATTTCGAGCTGCAAATCGAGCTGTAAAATTTTGTTTGAAACTTTGAATTTTCAGATGTTTCTTCTTGAAAATTAACTGGAAATTCTGTTGTTCATCTAAAAACATGATATTTCGGATAATTTTACCCCGAAAATCTACCGAAAAATTTCGAAAAACACATTTTTTACCGAAAAAAAAAATGGATTTTAGATGAATTTTTGTATTGAAAATCAACTTTTCCAGTTATAACAACCTCAAAATTGAGATTTTCCATTAAAAATCGTATTTTCCGGCTTTTAAAGCAACAAAATTGATGCAAACACTTCGAAAATCGGAGAAAAATGGTAAATTTGACACTGCCGGGCAGTACCAAAATTCCATTTTGCACCTGCTTAGCAGTACCAAAATCCAAGATTTTCGTCAATTTTTTGTACCATTTCGGTCATTTTTTTGCTGAAACAATGCGGAAATCGTTGGATTTACATCTAGATATTCGCTTTTTCGTGTAAAAAATATCGAAAATTCGAAAAAAAAATTTTTTTTGAGGTGATTTTTTGTGTCGAAAATAAAATTTTTCAGTGATAATGAGCTCAAAAATGGGATTTTCCATTCGAAAATTGTGTTTTCCGGCTTTAAAAGCAACAAATTTGATGCGAAAACTTTGAAAACCGGAGAAAATGGGAATTTTGCACCTGCCCAGCTGCAGCACAATGGATTTTACTACTGCTGAGCAGTACCAAAATGGATTTCTACAAAGATTTGGGTATTTTGTGTGGTTTTTTGGCGAATTTCAGCTATTTTGAAGCCATTGTAGGCTAATTTTGGACAATTTAAAACGAAATTTGAGTTATTCAAAGCGTTTTTCAGGTAATTCTAGGACAATTTAACGCAAATTTTCCACATTTTTGGGTTAATTTGAGCCATTTTACTCACTTTTTGCTGAGTCAACATCCCGAGGACCACCACAGATTTCAGCGTTTTCGTCGAGGCGCTCAGAATCTCACAAGTCGTAAATTTGAAATTTTTGAGCGACGCACAACGGGCGGCACGTTGTTTGACGAGAAGGAATCGTTGACGAGCCGCATGGGAGAATGACGATGAATCGGCGGCCAGGGTGGGCGTGGCTTTTCTGGAAATGATCGTAGTTTGTAGTCGGAGAAATTTGAAAATTTTGATGATATTGAGTCAAAATTTGAGAGAATAAATGAAATTTGGTACTGCTCAGCAGTAGCAAAATACGAAAAAGCAGTACCAAAATCGAATTTTCAGCTATAAACACGAAATTTAAGATTTTCAGCGTTTTCAACAACTTTTACAGCTGGAAATTTCAGATTTTTCAAAGTGTTTAATTCAAAATGATCGAAAATAAGCAAAATTTGTCTAAAATTTTTATTTTGGTACTGCTTAGCAGTAGCAAAACACGAAAAAGCAGTACCAAAATCCAATTTCGCTACTGCCCGGCAGTGTCAAATCTTCCATTTCCTTCAATTCTTCGAGTTTTTGGACCAATTTTTGCTCCGAAAAGACGATTTTTGATTGGAAAAACTCAATTTTAAGCTTATTTTCGCAGAAAATTCTGAAAAATTCGGCTGGAAATGAATAGAAAAGTGGAAATTTCTGAAATTGGTACTGCTGGGCAGTAGTAAAATCTTAAAATAAGCCAGAATTTAGTAGATTTTGGACCAAAATAAGACTGAAACTGAACCCAAACAGTATGGAATTGGCGAAAAAACAACTAAAAATGACCCTAAATATATCAAAATAAAGCATTTGACCAAAAATAGCTTAAAAATTACCTTAAAGCTATAGAAAAATGACTGAAAAATGATCTATACACTTATCGAAATTGTCAAAAAACGTACAAAATTGCCCGATTTCAGCTTAAAATAACACAAAACTGCTGAACATTGGCTTAAAATTGGCCGGTTTTTGAAACAAATCAGAATTTGGTACTGCTTGGCAGTAGCCAAATCTGATAAAGCAGTACCAAAACTAAATTTTGCTACTGCCCGATAGTGTCAAATTTGCCGTTTTCTTCGTTTTTAAACCAATTCTTCGGTCTAAAATCTCAAAAACGACACTTTCCGACTCGCAAAAGCTAGTTTTAAGCCCCAAAAATCACCTCAAAACCATTTTCCCGAGTTCCGGCTCAAAATCGTAGGCGTGAAGGGAGAAGGCGTCGAAGACGTTGAGCAATTTTCCGCTGAAAACCAAAATTTACACTGCCTGGGACAATTTTTCCAGAAAATTCCGAATTTTCAGCTCATTTTCCCTGAAAACTCACGCATCCTGTGATCCTTTCGATTTGCACTGCCGAAACGTCTCTCGAATCAGCTCTTCGCTGATCAATGAGGATTGTACTGGAAAAAAATAACAAATTTAGGCGGAAAATCGCTGAAATTTTCTACTAACATGTCTGCTTTTTGAGCAGCTCGATCATTTTGTTCGTCCATTTCTTGCGAGTATCCTTGTCGTGCTCCAGAAACAGTTTCACACACAATTTCACGGCTTCTCTGCAAGAAAATGTGTGAAAAATTAATTTCACAATGATAAACAGCTCAAAACTGATATTTTCGGATCATAAATTGTCATTTCCGGTTTTTAAAGCAACAAAATTAATGCAAAAACTTTGAAAATCTGAGAAAAATGGGAAATTTGCACCTGCCCAGCAGTAGCACTTTTCGATTTTACTACTGCCCAGCAGTACCAAAATCGAACTTTCACACTATTTTCTCGAAAATAAACAGAAATTTTCGATTTTTTTTACTGCTAAAACATCATATTCCTGTTCATTTCATCTGGAATATCAACCAAAAATGTTCAAAATTAAGGCAAAAATGAAGAAAATCGGAGAAAAATGGGAACTTTGCTACTGCTAAGCAGCACCAAAATCCATACTTGTAACGGGCCGGGCCGGGCCGGGCCGGGCTTTTTCCGAAATTTCGGAGGCCCGTCATTTCACTAGTTTCTAAATTTTCAAAAATACATAAGGGGGGACCCTTATGTGATTTTTTTCGACCAAAAAATTGTTTTTCGAGTTTTGTTGATACTTTTTGATCAAACAGACAAACAGTCCGAAATACGAAAAAAAAAATGGAAAAAATTATATTGAGAGCTCAAAATTTGGCTCAAAAATACAGAATTTTTGACACCGGGCCTTCCGGGCCGGGCCCGCAAAATTTCCTCAGGCCCGGCCCGGCCCGGAATTTTACAAGTATGCCAAAATCTCATTTTACACCTGCTCAGCAGTACCAAAATCCTTAATTTCCGTTGATTTTTTCATAAATGCGGTCATTATTGCTGAAAAAAGCCGAAGTCGTTGAATTTACAGCCAGGGATGTGTTTTTTTGAAAAAAATTCAGAAAAATTCGTCGAAAAGTACCAAAAACTCAAAAAAATTTTTCAAGTGAATTTTTGCGCTGAAAAATACGATTTCCAGTGATAATAAGCTCAAGCTTGAGATTTTCTATTCAAAAATTGCCTTTTACAGCAGTCAAAGCAACAAAATTAAGGCAAAAACTTTGAAAATTGAAGAAAAATGGGAAATTTGCTACTGCCTAGCAGTACCAAAATTGAATTTTGAGACGTTTTTTTCTGGAAAATTACCAGGAAAATTGAATTTTCTCTTTAAAAACTGCATATTTCGGTTTCCAGTGTCTCAAATACCAACCAAAAATATCGAAAAATACATATTTTTACCCTAAACTCATTAAAAATCGTTTTTAGGTCATTTTTAAAGCTGAAAATCCAACTTCCACATAATAAAAAGCTCAAAATTGAGATTTCCTATTTGAAAATAGCCCTTTCCGGCTCTTAAAGCAACAAAAATAGTGCAAAAACATTGAAAATCGTCTAAAAATTTCAATTTTGGTATGGCCTATCAGTACCAAAATCGACTTTTGCACTACTGCCCGGCAGTACCAAAATCGAACATTTAGCTTATTTTCTCGAAAATTAACTGAAATTTTGGATTTTTCACTGCAAAAACATCATATTCCTGTTTATTTCATCTGGAATATCAACCAAAAAACGTCGAAAAACTCAATTTTTGAGCGGAATATCATATCAGAAAAATGCTTTTTAGTTGATATTTTGTGTTAAAAATCGATTTTTCTAGTGATAATAGGCTCAAAACTTGGATTTTCTTGTCATAAATTGTCTTTTTCTACTTAAAAGTACAGCAAAAATGGAAAAAATCGGAGAAAAATGGGAAATTTGCTACTGCCTGGCAGTACCAAAATTGACTTTTGCTACTGCTAAGCAGTACCAAAATCCAAAGTTACAGTTGATTTTTTTTGATAAATTCCGTCATAATTGCTGAAAAAAGCGGATATCGTTGGATTTACAGCCAGGTATCGGTTTTCTCGAAAAAATTTCAGAGAAATTCGTCGAAAAATACCAAAAACTCAAAAAAAAATTCTTCAAGTGAATGTTTGCGCTGAAAATCAAAATTTCCAGTGATAATAAGTTCAAGCTTGAGATTTTCTAGTCGACAATTGCCTTCTACAGCTTTCAAAGCAACAAAATTAAGGCAAAAATTTGAAAATTAAAGAAAAATGGGAAATTTGCTACTGCTTAGCAGTAGCAAAATCGAGTTTTGGTACTGCTTTCTCATAATTTGCTACTGCTAAGCAGTACCAAAACTTCAATTTACACCTGCTAAGCAGTAGCAAAATGGATTTTGACACGGATTTGGGTCATTTTCGGCTATTTTAAGACTATTTTTAGCCAAAATTGTATCATTTCAAGCTTTTTAATCGCTCAAAATTCAATTTCGAGCCATTTTTCTCACTTTTTCAGCTCAAACGCGTGTATCTGAAACGTTTTGACGATCTCTCGACGAAGTGCCGCCTCCTCTGCTGTTGGTTGGGAGTCCATCTGTTTTTAGGATTTTTAGAATATTAGAAAAGTGGAAACTCAATAAAAATTAGATAGTCACACCATGCACTTCACGACATCGAAAAACTCAAAAAAAAATCTGAAAAAATGTGTAAAAATTGAAAATTCAAGACATTTTTATTACAACAAAAGTGACAGAAAAAAAGGAAGGGAATTCGATAAATTATTAGAAGAATTGAGATTTTCAGACGAAGAGTTTCAGATTTCACATTGGACGGAATTGCTGCGGTGGGCGTGGCATCATTGGTGGCATTCCCGGTGGTCCGGCGAGTCCCATTGGTGGTCCAGGGAATGGAGCAAGCTGGAAAATGGCATTTCCGGCCTTTAGAGCAACAAAATGAATGCAGAAACTTTGAAAATCGGTGAAAAATGGGAAATTTACTACTGCCCAGCAGTAGCAAAATCGCATTTTGGTACTGCTTTTTCATGTTTTGCTACTGCCAAGCAGTACCAAAATAGATTTTTACAAAGATTTGGGCCATTTTTTGTGGGGTTTTGGCAATTTTAGATTAATTGTGGACCGATTTCAGTTTTTTAAAAGTCATTTTATTCAATTTTTGGACCATATAAAGCAAAATTTGTATCATTTTAAGCATTTTTCAGACAATTCTAGGACAACTAGACGCTAATTATCAACATTTTTTGGGTTTTTTGAGCTATTTTCAACTTTTAAACGGCTTTTTACAGTGATTTTCAGAAATTCCTTGATAATTTAAGAAGAAAAAAGGACTCTACTACTGCTGGGCAGTACCAAAATCTGATTTTTCCGAAAATCGGTCAATTTTAAGCAATTTTTCAGCAATTTTGCATGTTTTTCGACAATTTTTGATGAATTTATAGACTTTTTAGAGCCAATTTTTTGATAGTTTATAGTAATTTTTAGTCTATTTTTGGCCAATTTAGGGTCATTTTATGCTTAAAATGCCGGATTTTCGACTTTGTTAGAGCCATTTTTGATGAAAATCAACCAAAAAATATCAAAAATTAAGGAAAATTAAAATTTTGCTACTGCCCAGAAGTACCAACATGAGTTTCTACATAGATTAGGGTCAATTTCAGCTAGAATATGTCAATTTAGAGCAATTTTTTGCTCAATTTGGTCCAAATCTATCACTTTTCAGCCATTTAGGCACCAAACCTACCCCTGGAGCTCCCGGAAATCCAACTGGCGGTCCTGGGAACGGACGTGGCGCCATCATTGGCATTCCTGGTGGACCGCCCATCATCGGATGGTGACCAACCGGTGGCACCGGCGCCATTCCCATCGTTGTACGTGGCACCGCGCCGTGCATCTGGAAATTAGCGATTTTTGATAGTTTTTAGGTCAAAAATAGCAAAATTAGGTCGAAATCTATCAATTTTGGGTCATTTTTCAGCTAAAAATCAATGAAAACTCACTCGATTCGTGGCAAATGCTCTCGCAGTCTGATCGACGAGCTTCTGCGCCTGGTCTTCCATCCATTTCTGGAAAATTTCGAATTTTTTGGGATATTTTACCTTAAAATCCAGGAAAATCCTACCTGATAGAACATTCTAACGTTATCCTTGTGCTTCCTTCCCCCGTTGTGTGTTTTTCGCACCGACGGCGAGTCGTGCGTCAGAAATGTGTCGCAGTAGTCGCAATAGTACTTTGGCATGCTGCAAATTGGAAAAAATTTTCAAGTTGAACACAAAAAAAGGGTAAAATTGCAATTCAAAATTGCACAAAAATACGATTTCAATGAAAAAAAACTGAAAAATATCGAAAAATATCAATATTTACATATTTTTGAAAATCGGGGGAAAATGGACGAATTCAGATGAAAATTGGAGAAAATGTGAAATTTACGATAAAAGCATTATAAAACAGGCGAAAATTCTAGAAAGTTCATTTAAAAAATTGGGAAAATTTCGAATTCGAAAAATATTGATTTTCCAACATTCTAGGGTATTTTTCTGCGACAAATCTGAAAATAATGACCGGAAAACATGTAAATTTTGGAAAAATAGACAATTTCAATGGAAAAACGGGAAAAATTCAAATTCTGACACAATTTTCAAATTTCTCGAGAAAAAACCGAATTTCCAACAGAAATTCCCTATTTTTAGGTTATTTTTAATGCTAAATACGATGAAACTGATGATTTACACCTCAAAAAATCAATTTTCCCAAAAGAAATCATTGATTTCGTCGGGAAAATCAATAGAAAACCAGCGAAAAGTGCTGAGAAAATTCATATTCCCCTCTTTCCCGAGAGGAGTACACGAGGTGGTGGACTAAGAGGCGCCTCGCGGCCACGGCCACCTCTCTTTTGCGCGCGAGTTTAAATAGGAATTTGAAGAAAAAAGGCAAAATTCCCACTTCTTTATCTCATTTTTTAGCTAAAAACACGAATAAAAAATAAAATTATGAATTACAGTTGAATAAATACAAAAAACGGAAAAAAAAAGATTTTAAGACAAAAAATAACACGCTTAATGGGGAAAAAACCGGAAAAATTCATAAAAATCAATAAAAATCGTTATAAATCAGCCAATCGATCTCAGACGTTCCTCCAACTTTTCAGTCAACATTTTAAGCTTGAAACGTTGCGATTCGCGAAGAGCATGACGGATTAGAATCGACTCTTGACAATTTCCACCAGCCAATATCATAATTTCGTCGTAGGCGCGGTCTGAAAAAGTGAAATTTGCCTGAAAATTGCTGAAAATGGGCTGTAAATGATCGAAATTCAGATTTTTCAGCTAATTTGTATACTAAAAATCGTTTTTGAAAAATTGAAAAAAAAATTTTTTGATTTTTTTTTCAAAAAATCTGAAAATTTCAGATTTCAGATATTTTCAGATTTTTCTAGATAAAAAAACCAAAAACTCACGATTCGCCGGTTTTCGAACAATCGTTCCGATTCGAATTTTGCGAGTTAGGACCTCCTGATCGGTGAGAATTTCAGCCGGTGCTGGTGGAGCTGGAGCAACAGCTGGGGGCTGAAAATTTGAAAAATTATGATTTTCGGTCATTTTAGGTTCGTTTTGGTCCATTTTAGACCAATTTTAAGCCATTTTAGATATAGTTTGAGCTATTTTAAGTCATTTTAAGCCATTTTAAAGCTATTTTAAGTCATTTTTAGCTCATTTTGATTCATTTCAAGCCATATTAGACCAATTTTGAGCTATGTAATGCCATTTAAACCAATTTTTGGTTAATTTTAAGTCATTTTAAAGACATTTTAGATACATTTTGAGTTATTTTCAGCCATTTCAGGCTAATTTTGGATCATTTTAAGCCATTTTAGGCTATTTTAAGACTCATTTTGAACCATTTTAGACCAATTTTGAGGTATTTTAAGTCATTTTTAGCTTATATTGGACCATTTTGACCTATTTTAAGCGATGTTATGCTAATTTCAAGCCCATTTTAAACCATTTTTAGCAAAATATCAAGTCATTTCACATCCATTTTCAGCCAAATTCAGACATTTTTCAAATCGGAGAATTCTAGAGAAATTTAAGAAAAATTACCAGTTTAGGGTGATTTTAAGACATTTTTTAGGACAATTTAGAGCACATTTTCAGCATTTTTCACTCAAATTTCGATCATTTTCAGTTGATTTTTGACCAATTGCGACAATTTTGGCAATTTTTTTCTCAAATTTTCAGCCAGAAAAGATCAGTTTTTAGCTATTTTGAGCTCAATTTTGGTCCAAAATCTAGCTATTTTTGGCTTTTTTTGACAAATTCTCAGCTAATTATCGGTCCAAAATCTACGAATTTTCAGCCTTATTTTATGGAAATTTACAGCTAATTATGGCTAAAATTAGGACCATTTTTAGTGATTTTTAGGTCAGTTTTAAGCTATTTTAACTAGTTTTTGGTCAATTTTCCCCATTTTCAGCCAATTTCCACCACTCACCTCCACAGCTTGAATATTAACATCTCTCCCTCGCATTTCCTCGAAATCATTCAAATTCCGTGTCAACTGTTCTACCGTATCCATCTCCTCCAATTGTAGATTCTCAAAATCCGATGATGGAGTACTGGCTCCACTTGTTCCAGGCGTCCCCTCCCTCGAATCAATCAATAACTCGTCTCCAGAAGACACCGAAAAATCAGAAATATCCGAGGAGGCGGAGCTTCCGCGCATCGATCGACGGGTACGGTATTGATCGAAAGCATCGATTCCCAATGGTCCACGACGTCGTTTCGGGGGTCCACCGCCTTGACGAGGCTCACCGAAACGTTTTGTTGGTTGATTCTGAGAGTTGCCATCCACCACCGCACTGTCCATTACCTGCAAAT